ATAAGAATTAAACTTTCTTTTATAATAATACTCAATAATGTGTCGTATGATATATTTCTTTTAGAATGCAAAAAGAGATGGTTCGTGATTTGAACAGAGAAATTCTCAAAGAAATCGGTATTTCTACAGTAGGCGACTCAGTTGCGATTTTAAAGTATGCAAAAGAGGTATGTACACATAGAATATAATTTAAGAGCGTAAAGACAGAAAATTTTCTATTTATTGTCTCATGGTTCCAGTCAAATTTGGAAATATTATCAATTATTTATTTATTGTTAATAGATATATCAATATTATAGCAACAACAAATAATAATGAAGATGATAATTTATGAACATAAGCTTAATTAACATTCTTTCCCAAACTTCAGATATCTTTCATCTGTTGACTTTGCTGAAGAAAGTAAAAAGGTATGATTGCAAAGGCAAAAAATATCAAGGTGATAATTAATTTTTGGGACAAGTTTTGTTGTAATCATGCTACCACATGTACAGTATAGCACCATCATAGCCACATGGATGTGATATCATATAATTTTGCATTGCTAAACACTTTTTAAAATCATGAAATATTTATTTTTGAAAAGGTAGAAAACATAAACTCTTCAGTCAAAAGCATTTCTCTGTCAAAAACCAAGCAAGCAACTCTAGTTGTTGGGAAGTGTGGTGTTTTAAAAGTTGGACCTGAACTTGAAGTAAGTTCCCAGTCTAGAAATATAAATGTATCTGTTGTTGTTGTTGTTGCTGCTGCTGTGGTGCTTATTTTGTTTTCCTTTTTTTTTTGTTTTTAACAAATCCAGTCACTGCAAACTGCCATCTCAAAAAAAACAGTGATGCAGCATGAATGGATCAAACTGAAAGCATCTGATGACTCTTTATGAAAAATATATCTTGGATAGCTAGATTACTTTGTTAATTCCCATTAATTTTTGTTCCAGGTATAGATATTGAAGATCTCTCACAGAAAGTACTGTTGCCAGTGCAGGAAGTAAAATGGCACCTTGACCACTATGGGAATATCATAGAAAAGCGTAAGGCAAAGACTGCAGCAAAGAAATCAAGTCAAAGGAATGACTGTTTGGTATTTTTTACCATAGTTTGCAAGAGCAGCAGTAAGGCGGACTCGCGGCCACCCCCCGGAATTACATGGGTATTCCCCGCGCTCACGTACGTGCGTCGGCCGCGGGTATTACCCGTTATAAGAGTGTATTTTTTCCCCTTTTTTCGGCAACCATTTTCGGCTACCTTTTTCCATCCCGCACGGGTATTCCTCGTAGGCACATTTTTGTACAATCGTATTTTTTTGTGCACCCACTGAGCCAGAAAGGGCCCCCAGGAATGTGCGTGGTCCAAAACACCTCCCCATTTGCGAAGAGCACTGTCTTGGGGCTGCGAAACAAGGCTCTTGTACTTTCCCCGCCGTAGCAAGACACCGCTACCTTTGCATGCACAAGAAAAGGTTGGGCAAAATAAACATAACGATTCGTTATGCTTCTACTATCTACGCCGCGGCAGTTGCGCCAAAGTTGCCACGTAGCCCGGTATGCGAATTCCTTGCAAAGTCTTTTGCGCTCGGTAGAGGCCTTCCAAGATCTCCAAAAGTATTTGCGTTGTCCTTTGTTTTCCTAGCATGTAGCTGGCTATGCCTAGAGCTATGTAGAGATACATGTCTATATACCTATGGACCCACGGAATACCCCTATGGATCCATAGGTACCTAGCTATGTTCGAACCGTATTCGTAGATATATATGGCAACACCCAAGATACTATCCGAGGAGGAAATCGCAGGATTGTTGGAAGATCGACGAAATGGCGTAGGGCTGCAGAAGGTAGCCAAAAAGTACGGCATAGGYATACCAAAGATACGCAGGATAGAGCGAGAGAACGGCGTGGAGGTAGCGATTCCCGAGAAACCACCTACTACGGATTTGCAGAAACATTTCCTAGAAGTGCAGGATTCCTTTGCTATAGTCTTGGACGATCTCCAAAAAGCTAGAGAAGAACTCCGAGACGCAAAGGAGGAATTGCTAGCCAAAATGGAACAAAAAGAGGAACCCGAAGATTCGTTCGAGAAAATAGACGTGGAAGAAATAGAGAACGAAGTAGAGGAAGTATCCACGAAAATAGACTGGCAAATAGCCGGCAATGTACTATTTGCAGTCGCAGGCATAGCTGCCATTGTTTGGGCGCGCATGCAACCACCCAAAGTTGTCTACTACAGACATCCAGCGGAGGATACGAAACCGCAGAGAAATTCTAGGATTCCGGAGATGGAGTAGAGGCGAACGCCCTTTGCAGGCCTAGGATTYCGGAGTAGAGACGTGCACCAGTCTGTCTTTCTTCTTTGCCTTGGTAGTCTTTTCCCTACCTATTTTGCAGTATAGCGGTGGTGGAGACGTCCAGTCTATTTTCTGCTCCTCCAGAAAGTGTCCCCAGACCGGAGTGGTTGCATGTTCTGCCGTGCAGCCCTCCAAAACGCACTCCGAGCATTTTTCGGAAAGGAATAGGATTGTCCTTTCTTTTTTTCTGTACGTGGTTTTGGCGTATCTCCAGCATTGGTACTCTCCTTCCTGCAAATGTAGCGCCTGCACGCATTCTTTGTTTGGTGGCGCCGACACTTCCAGTAGTCTTTCTGGATTTTTGGGAGGGTCTATTTTCATAGCCAACTCGTAGTACGTATCCAAACCGGGGCCTTCGGGTACGAAGACAGTTGCTACGTTGTTTTTCCACTCCACCAATATTTCTTCTCCGGGTATGGCAGTGCGTATGTTGCCGTTGGCTTCGAACTTTCCAGCCGCGCACGCTTCCAATAGGGCTTCCGTGGCCCATGCTACAGAAGTTTCTCTATCCCTTCGCAATACTACGCGGTGCCCTCTTGCCAACCAGTTGGCATCCAAGTCTCTGGGGATCGCATATCCAAGTATCTTGTAGTCTCCTGCAGGTATTTGSTCCATCCTATGCACTTTGGCCCTAGGCGTCTCTGGGCCAAACGGGCTTTCCTCTCCAAAGAACAATCTACGCAGATTGTCTGTCCTTCTGGACATTCTATCCAATGTTTTCCTATATTTTTCCAACTCTTTTTCTATGGCTTTCCTGTCTTCTTCCTTTTGCCGCAGGATGGACTGCCTTTGTTCCGACAGTTCTGCGTGGTATCTTTTCGTAGCTTCTACCCACTCGTCTCCTTCCAAATCGTCCCGTATGTTTTCCAATCGCTGCTGCCGTTTTCTTTTGGACAGAAAGGATATCCTGCGGTCCGTAGGTACTTCTAGTATTCCAAAGGGACTCTTTTCCACGCCTATCTTTTGTGCCTTCTTGGTGCGCCAAACCCACTCCACGTGCTCCGTAGTTGGGAGAAAGTCTGCGATTGTAGGAGGATCTTTGTGCACGCGGGTGGGCTTGTTAGACTCTACCAACACCGTGGGGGAATCTTTGGTGTAGCAACGAAGTGGAGCTATCTCCACTGGGTCCAATCCACGCACGTCTATGCGGAATATGGGGCATTTGCGCAGACCGAACTCTGCTATGGTCCAAAGTACGCACTGTTCCCATCTTTCGTTGCCCCGTACACGTATGCCGGCTATCCTACCTGTCTCCGCATGGCAGTACCAAGCTAGAAAGATTTCTTTCGTTTCCTCGCAGCAAATACACAAACATCTATCCAAGTGTTTCGCGAGAGCCAACCACATGTTTTTGGGTGGTTGTACTACGAATATGTCTGCTAGTGGCTATATAGTCTCCGAAATGGCATTGGTGTGTTCTTTGGAGAAGTCTTTGCCGTAGATGGATATTTCCACTCTACTGCATCCTCTCGCCTGCACATCTGGGTGCAGGAATGTCTTCCTAAGATGCTCGTTCGGACAATCCACGTACTCTGCCAACTTTGCTCCTACTGGATTCTGCACTTCTCCGGCTTCGAAGTTCGATACTATTTTGTTGTATATTTTCGTGCGTTTGCCGTCTTCCATCCAAGTACAAACGTGGCTACCTACTTGATGCGTATTGTCCAAAATAGTCCCTTTGCGTCCACCCAGTTCTCCTTGCATTTCGTAGCCCAGCTGTCGCAATCTGCGCACCAAAGCTTTTCTATCCAAAGTACCGGAGAAATCCTGTGTGTAGTCCACGGAGTAGATACCATATCCGTGCGCATCTAGCAAAGTAGCAAACTTGGGTATCTTTTCCTCCACGGTTTCTATGGACAATTCCGAGGTGTCTACTTTGGCTACGAAAACCGCTGCGGGTTCTCCGTGCAAACTGGACCACTTGGCTGCCATGTGGGAGACGCGATCTACTATTTTTCCTTGCCTGCAGCTGTGTACTATTTGGACATGTAGGAACGTACCAAAGGCTTCCTGGGTCGCAGTGGATATTTTGGAGACCAGCGTTTTTGCGTTTCTGCATATGCGTCCATACATGTCGTTCTCTGCGACAAACCCGTATACAAACACATCGTCTACAAACGGTGGTAGCCCGGACAGTGGCTGCAGGCTGGTAGTACCTTCGTTTCCGCGCAAATAGTCGCACTTGGATATGTCTGGTAGTAGATTTCCATCGTATGCGTTGTCCAACAGCAAATGTGCTAGCACCCTATTCTTCGCACGTATACCCATCTCCTGCAATGTTGCCGAAATACTCTTTTGCTCTTCCATGTATATATAGGGCGTCGAAGGTTTTTGGCTACTAGTAGAAGCATAACGAATCGTTACCCTTAGCCCACCAACCTTTTCTTGTGTTTCTCCATGCAAAGGTAGCGGTCACAGCCCTTGCTATCCCACGGACATTCCTGGGGGCCCTTTCTGGCTCAGTGGGTGCACAAAAAAATACGATTGTACAAAAATGTGCCTACGAGGAATACCCGTGCGGGATGGAAAAAGGTAGCCGAAAATGGTTGCCGAAAAAAGGGAAAAAAATACACTCTTATAACGCGTTGTCGTACGAGTTGTCACAATTTCACAGGGATCCTTCCTGCGTAGATGGGAAATCAGACCACACTTTGTGAAGCTCTTGCTACATCTTGGACAAATAAGCTTACCACTCATCGTATACTTAACGATATTTTGTCCTCCATTAGGGGTAATATTTTAACTTAGTAATGTGGGGCACCAGTA